ATTTAATCTCTGATCCTTTACTCAGTTTTATTCTCTGCCTAAAGTAAACAAGCTTGGGCATGTTTATATGTACTTACAGTCATCCTATATTTTTTGTGTAGAATTTTTTTCAGTCTCCTTATTCCTCTGGAAGCAATCTGGAGAATATTGAATTTCCTTTTGGAGAAAGCACATAAGAATCAATGTAAGAGTTCATATGAACTTTTCAGATGCTGTCAGAAGAGCACTGTTTTGCTGTAGGCAAATAAGTAAGATCACCTGTAGCAACTGCTTTTTAGGCAACTCCAGTTTTGGGGCTTAAATCTTCTATTGATTTTTCCTGACAAAAAAGCTTTAAGACTGGATACTGTTTGAATACCATTCCATCTGTTGTACGTTACAGCGTGGACATAATATCCCTCTTGTGAACTGTGTTCTCACCAGGTTCCAGCATAAACTGGAAGCTCTCTTCAGGAGGATGACTGAAGTTCTGTAAAAATGGTCGATTAGGGGAAGAAAGGGATGGAGAGTTGTTGGGCTTGGGGCAGGACTTCTGTATGCTTCTCTTAAAACCACTTTTGTGTTAAGTGTTCTTGAAAGTTTCTAATTGGGCTGATAATTGGGTAGCATCTATGTCAGTGCTTTATTTTGCTCTGTACACATGCTCTTGAATAGTAGTTTGCCAGGAGATGGCAGTGAATTACCAGTTTGTACAGCATGACCAGCAGACAGAATAGCGAAATGTCAGGCTGCCTCTGTGAGGTCAAGTGTGTGTAGGGTGTGCTGTGGTGTTCAGCAGACCTTAACAGACTTGGAAGATCTGATGTTGTATAGTATTAATGAATGTGCTTTTAGCTGTAAATGGCTATTTTAGTTAGCTGATAGACATGTAAAACACCTGTGCAGTGGCTTCCTGAAGTCTCAGGTCACCTGAGAGTTAGGACCTTGCCATCTTGCCATTTGACTTCCTTTCAGTGTGTTGCTGCTCCTAATGATTGCAAGGTAATAGCAGGGCAGATCATCAGAGCGCCCCTGCATTGTTGCTCTTCAGGGAATCAAAGATCTCAAACTGCTTCTCTCTCCAGACCAGGCCCACAGTAAAGGTGTATTTCAAAAGAATGTTTTTCGTGAGTAACAGATATATTTTTGAGATACATCATAGAGCAGATGAATACTAGGCATAAGATGGGCTGCTTGTTAAACAGTAAAAGATGCATACACAAAAAAGCTTGGTGACCAGATGTGGTGTAATGTAGCTAAAGCTCATCCCAGCAGGCAGTTGCAGGAAAAATCTGTATAAAAACTGTCTTATTTAGTGTTCATTTAAGGGCTCATGAAGTCAGGTGTCCTTTAGAGAGCTGCAAGGTGCTTGCCAAGAACCTCACTAATGGTGCCAGTTGCAGTTTTGGCTTGCAGTGTTTTTGCCTGCCTCATGCATGGGTCATCATGCAGCTTGTGTTTTGACTTATTTTTCAACAGGTTTCTGTTTTTCTCAGCAAAACAGAAGCTTTCCTATACCCTGAAAGTGCTTGCCAGTGTTTATGGTTTGAAAATGGATTGCAAGGAATAACCTGCAGATAGGCCATAGTATTTTCCTTTTGTGTGGTTTCTTGTTCATTTATTTTTTATTCTTTCCTCTTGCATAGGTTAGGGATAAGGGATTTCATCTCATTTTTTTTCCAGTGTGTGAAATGAAAGTGTACAGTACTGGCAGGGAAGCAGGTATCTGCCTGGAGGAAATAAGACGGTGAGAGTTATTTTTACTTTTACCTCCTTCAATTACAGTTTGAATACTTGAACTTTATTACTAGCCTGTTTGAAAATTACCTTTGTAGACTCTTTCGTAAGTGAAAGATGGTATTAAGTGAAAATACATCAGTGCACAAGGTGTGTGGCCTGGTTGATTGCAACACTTGAGTATACCTGATCTAGTATACATCTCTGCTTAAAGCAACTAGATTAGAATCATAAATCATAGAATATTTTGGGTTGGAAGGGACCTTCAGAGGCCATCTAGTCCAACTCCCTTGCAATGAGCAGTGCAGATTGGGTCCTAGAAGCGTACTAATTTTATTTAATACCAGCTTTAGTCTAGCCAAGTCAGATTACTCCAGCAGTAGTTCTTCCTATTTGGATATATTTAGCAAACAGTGCAGACTATGAGGTCAACCTTCATTATGATTTTAGTATTTTATTGATTTGACACCTAGATATGGTTGAAATGGAACAACTATTTTACTGTTAGTAGAAAAACAGTGTTTCAGTAAGAAAAAATCAGTCAAGATACAATAATGATTGATCATATAGTCGTAGAATAGTTTGTTTGGTTTGGAAAGGACCTTAAAGTTCACCTAGTTCCAACACTCCTGCCATGGGCAGGGACATATTCCACTAGACCAGGTTGCTCAAAGCCCCATCCAGCCTTGCCTTGAACACTATGAGGGACGGGGCAGCCACAGTTTCTCTGGGCAACCCGTTCCAGTGCCTCACCACCCTCACAGTAAAGTATTTCTTCCTAATGTCTAATCTAAATCTACCCTCTTTCAGTTTACAGCCATTCCCCCTTGTCCTGTCACTACATGCCCTTGTAAAAAGCTGCTCTCCAGCTTTTCTGTAGGTCCCCTTTAGGTACTGAAGGCTGCAGTAAGGTCTGTCCCAAGATTTCTCTTCCACAGCCTGAACAACCCCAACTCTCTCAGCCTGTCAAATGATGCCAAGAATTTTAACTGTGTTACTTGAAAGTTTTAGACTTGAAGGGTATTTTGTGAACACTAGGACTTGCTTTTTTCCGTTTATATCAATATATATGGTATTATTTTTCACTGCAGACCTCTGCTTGCTTGCTTTTAATTTATTGCTGAAATTAAAGCTTAACATCACATTCTAGGTCAAATCAGAAGTGATAATAAATGCTAAGACAAACTTTTACTGTATATTGTGTTATTGTGACTATTATGTCACTTTTTTTTTTTTGTTAGCGATAACCATTTTTGTAGTTAGTGAGCATAACACTAGTACAAAAATTGCAAAGCAGTTGCATTGGGAGTTTGAAAATGGTTTATTTTCCTCTGGTTCAGTCCCTTACTGCCCATGAAATTACATAAATTCCTGGACACTGACAAGCAGTTTGCTTCCTTAGGATTTCAAAGCCTATCTCAGCTAAGTTTGGCTCAGCAAGTTTTCTGGTTCCCTACTCTTGCTGTGTCTCCTAGAGTCATACAGTCCCTTGGATCCTTCATTTATCTCTTTGACTGTGATGCTTGGTACATCACATTGCCTTGTTAAAGCTTCTGTTTTCTCTAGCTGTTTTTCTGGCAGAAGAGGGTTTGAGCACACCTTCTGCTAATCTAATGGTGTTTGGCACACTTCTGGCCTTCAGGTTGTTCTTTAACTACCCACAGATCAAAAGCCTGGCTAACAACATCTTTTAATGCCTGTTTTCCAGTATAATAGTAAATATACTCAGGGAACAAACAGATCTCTTCTCCGAAAGGTCAACTCTGTACTTGTGCTGTGGTAACTTTCCCAGTATGCTACCTGTCCTGCACTTGCAGTGTACAGGTTTTCATCCCTTGAATGTCTTGCTGCTTTTTCATGTGAACTGTAAAAAAAAGTGGTATGCAGAGAAAGGCAAGGAAGAAAAGCAAAAAAAACCAAAAACACTACTGTTGTGTTACAGTTGCAGCCATGATAAAATAGCGTCTTTAAAAACTTGGGGGGGGGGGGGGTAACTGCCTACTTTTTATTCCTCTTGTCCTAATTGACTGTATTTGTGGCTGCAACTTGTGACAGTGGTATCTCCCATCCACTAGCAGGGTGGATCATAAGAGAGTAGGGTACGGAGAGTTGATAGTAGGTGAGTTTTACTTTCGGTTAATTTTATCTTACTCCCTTCACTTGCTGGGGTATTAATAGAGCATCTCCTACCCAGTATTATGATGCTTGATAATACTTGTAGGAAGGAGGATCTGGTGAGGCGGAATACAGTTTGTCTGACTTGGTTAAATTGGATGACATATCAGAAGTCTAGTGGGAAGAAACAATCATGTTTGAAAACACTGAAACTATTGCCTAGCTTGGTTTAATAATTAGAAGCTGCACAGCTTTTGAGCAGCTAATGTCAGACAAGGTTGAAAGCTGGCTTTCTCCCTCCTCTTTGGCTTGTTGAGTAACCTCTAGTGTCTGCTACTGATTTTTTTTTTTTTTTTAAAGTTCCAGATAGATGAATTTCTGGAGAGAATGTTTTAGTAAATACTGCAAGTAAAACATTGTATGGCCCTTTCTGTTTTAATGGTGTTACTGTCCTTTAGGGACACAATGTTTGCTTATTCTTTGTTTTGGTGCCATAGTTCAAAACACAGTTGCTCCTTCTCAGAGAACATTAGGTACTTCACTGGAACTGCTCCTGGTTGGGGTTAGTTGGAGAAGGGGTGGCCTTTCCCTTTTCTCATCTAGCACCCTGTGTGGCTTTTTATTTGGAATATTGATGCTCTTTGTGAGCTGGTTGTGCTGTCTAGAAACAAAAAGCTACGTGACACAGCTTTTTGCTAAACTTGTGCATCTTGGAGCCAAGCATTCGTCTGATTCAGGTATGAATGGTGCTGTTGGCACACTTCGTACTTGATTCTGATCCGCTTTGCAGGGACCCTTGACTTCTGCAGTTGTGCAGCCCTGGTGCTGATCAGCACTGCTTAAACCAAATAAATGCACAATATGAAAGGGTGAGGCATGCTGCTAGCTCTTTGACTCTAAAAGCAGGATTTTTCTCTTAGTAGCTTTAATATCTTCGAGTGAGGTACTCACTGAAAACACCGGCTTGAAAAAGCAAGTTCAGGCAACTTCCCTCCTTTGCTTCAGTGAACACTAAGCCAGAACAAGGCACTGCACTTCCTGGTGGTGTACGGGAAGTTGATGAGGAACAAGCTGCTTCAGGTATAAGCCAGAAACCCCACTCTTTTCAAGCTAGATTTAACACAAGGAAGCATCTGAGCAAAACAGAAGAAACTTTAAAAGAACCAAAGTCAAATTTTTTTAAAAATTTATTCCCTCGATTTTATATACAGTAATTACAGTACAAAGGTGTAAATGGTCTTTGTTGTGAGTTGTTGTGCATATGCAGCTTAGTAGAGAGATTTAACATTCAATTTGAATCTCAGTGCAAGTAGGCACTAAAACATCCAACATACCTCCAAGGTATAAAAAGACATACCAGTTTTACAGGTTTCTCCAGCATATTTTGTTACAGTGCAAAATGCTATGAAATAAGGTTTCTTCAGAAAAATTCACATAAATTAAACACATATTGCACTTGTCCCAACCAAAAGGGTAACAAATTATATTTACTGAACTAGTTTATGTTTCAGAATATTCCTCACACACATGCACTCCTTCCTCCTGACTATTTGTGCTAAATATGTGTAGTTTAAATCTTTAACTGTTTATAGATCTTTGAACTAATTCAGTCCCTCTTGAGCAGACTGCTAAAGAAAAAGAAATCACAGCAGGTTAATGTAACAAGAAAATTCTCCAAATTCTATTCAGGCTTCTATCCAGTAGCACTGTAACTAAATACATAAAAATCGGCGTTGTTTAAATTCATAATACAAGTGTATTGAACATCAACAATTTCGGGTGCTTGCACCCCTGTTTTCTGGGAAGGTATAAAACCTCCAGTTCTAAACATGTACATATTTCTGCTGTACATCAAGCTGCTAAGCTAGCATTGCACCCACAAACGTTTGTGCAATACCACAGGTAGGACTTCGATTTCTGTACATCACTGGCTGCTATGGGGCATATTGGGAGAAGGAGGGCAAAGTTGCATTAACTTTGGAGAACAAAGTCTACTTGTGCTGAATCTGTGTCAATGGAATCTGTGCACTGCCAAACAAGAAATAGAGGTGAAGGCAAATAGCATCAGTGTTGCTAGATTTGAGTTTCCCTAAACCTTTACAAGTCTTGAGAGTTAAAGGAACAAGTGCATATGATTGCAGATGATAACTTTGTGCTTAAGATACTTATTAAAAGCTGAAAGGTAAGGGAGTGGCTTAGGAACAAATAACTTTTTGGTGGGTTTTTGGGTTTGGGTTTTTTGTTTTTTTTTTTTCAGCAAACCAGTATGAACAAAGTTGCTACTAAAATACTGACATATAAAGGCAGAAGAAAAGTAAAACACATGGCTAGCTGAATGCTAGTTTATGTCTTAAACAGTCCAGGGTTACCTGCAAAATGCCTCCAACATTTCATTTCTCCCCACACTTCATCTTAGAGGACTATACTTATTCCTGTCACATACAAAACCAGCATTTATTTTCTGAAAACATTTCCACATTCAACTCATTCAGAACATGAGTGGAAGAAAACCTGATTTCTGGTACTACAGCATTCTTCAGACCCAAATCTGGAGCTGCAACAGTGACTGTTGCAGGACTTTCTAAAGACAGGTTCCCATATTACTTGCATACTACTAGATACAAAGTCCTTAATAAGGCAGCAGGTTCCCATCTTACTTGCATACTACTAGATATGAAGTCCGTAATAAGGCAGTATGCATTTTATACAAGTAATGAGATGAAATCCTAACTTGACACTTAAGAATTCTTTATACAGATAGTATATGTTCACACCACTTGTGCGGATCATGTTAAAACTCAAAAATCCCAAGCAGCCAGGCTTTGGATCAGGAGAACAAACAGATAAGGTTCACAAACTAGAAGGCTGCTGTATTACTGGACCTGGTTCACATTCATGAAGATTGTCTTCTGACCTCATATACATTAGGAACACAGTGACGGTAGCAAAGGTAGCTGCATTGACAGGAAAAGCACGGAGAAGTGTGGAAGTAAGACCTCTTGTGAACACCCTCCAGCCTTCTTCGTGGTAACTCTTTCTGACACAGTCTAAAATGCCATTGTATTGTGTAACGCCTCCAACTCCATCAGCCTGAAGTCGGGATTTGATCACATCCATGGGATAGGTTGAGAGCCAGGATACTATTCCTGATATCCCTCCAGAAAACAGCAGTTTTGGAATAACATAACTGTCTTCAGCTTCACAGCCTAAATACCTGGTCATTAAGTCATAGGTCAGGAAGTAAAAGCCAAAGCTTGGAGTCTCTCTTATGAATGTGGAGACCATGCCCCTGTTGATACCCCTTAGCCCTTCCTTTTGATAGATTTTGATCAAACAATCCAGAGAATTTTTGTAGTTCTTTGTTTTTAGTTTATATTCACCTGTTCCTTGAAGCTGCATTCTTGTCTTTGCCAACTCCATGGGACAGCAGATGATACACTGGATAGCCCCTGCTGCTGACCCTGCAAGGAACTGGTTTAGAGGAGTGTCTTTTCCAAGAGCACGAAGTGTGTTTCCTTGTACACCAAACACAAGCGCGTTAATGAAGGTTAGTCCCATCATTGGTGACCCAATACCTTTATAGAGTCCAAAAGCCTAATGGAAGAAGGAAGGAAAACCCCTTTTCAACAGTTATATTCATAAACCCCCTGAAACTGTGCAGAATGTGGCTTTTCTTGCTCTCCCTTGTGTCCTAATTGTCTAGCAATAATAATAATAAAATAAATAAAATAATAATAAATAATAATTTAATCGCTGCTTAAGACACAAAAATCTAACCACTTTTAGCAGTTCAAATACAATGCTGAACACATCCAGAAAACAATCTCAGTCCTTCCACAGAAAAGTTTTTCTAGCAAAGCCCAAAGCCACCGTTTTAGTTATGGTATTTAAGCTTCAGCAGCAAAAAAATCCCTTCACCAATTTCTTCACTCATTGCTCAAATTGCTTGGATTCTCAGAAAACTAGCTATTTAAATAACTTAATTAAAATGTTACCTTCAAAATAGCAACTGTCAGTTTAGTGATCTTCATGAAGTTTCTGGCAAACTTCTGACTACCCTATCTGCCCTATGCTCAAGTGAGGTTGAGTATGCCTGTCTCTTGTTCTTCGATATTTGTAGGGGTTTTAGCAGCTTTCCCCACCCTTCTGATTGAAAATACATGAAGATACAAAGTATGAAAAGCATTAATTTTGTACTTACAGATTCTTGTTTTATGATGGATTGAAAGCAATGGAAAGTCCCACGGTAGAGAGGTTTCTCTACATTTTGAACTTGCAGACGAACCTATAAAAAGTTGTACAAGGTACCGATTTGTGTGTCAAGAACAGCCTAATTGGTAAATTAGTGTCTTGTGTATGTATGGAGATTTGCTATAGCAGTGCATATGCAAGAGCACAGGTTGGACACTGGAACACCTCATGTGGCAAAATAATTTAGAAGTATAGTGTGTTTTGATTTAATTTTGGGGATGAAAACATGAAAGTAGGAGGGTTATTAACTACTTGTGAATAATAGAACAACACTATGCGGAAGTACAAGAGGGTACACGGTTCTCTAGAATTTCAGACAGGAGTTTCCAGTACTGACTAGAATAATTACTTTCTTTAGCTGTCAAAAATACTTCTGTTCACACTAAGAAATAACTGTACAAACCTGATGTAAATATTTTTATAAAATTCTAAGCATGAAATAAGGATAATGTTTAAAAGGATGGGAACTTCCAATACCACCCCCATAGTATTTCTGCTGCCAGACCTGGGGACCCTTCACTAACATCTGGTATTTTCCAGAGGGTAGCTGGAAAGTGGCTCTTTAAGATGTGTCTTTGCATAACAGTAAAAATCAACTTGTCCTTTTAAATCTTAGTCTGTTTTTTTTAACCTGCTGAACACAAACCATTGGTGAGGGTGTGGCCATTTTAAACCCTTATTGTTAGTAATCAATTAACTTGTAAAATGGAAATGTTATGATCTGCTGGACAAATAGATGTCACTGTAACTGGCAATATGAGGGGAAAGTCCCTTTCTAGATGTTTTTTAACTTGTAATGGAAAAGTCCACTCCTGTTTTTTCCTGCTAATTTGTCCTTGACACACTTAAAGTCTCAAAGCTGCCCAGTTCATGCAAAGCCCTACACTGCAGTAAACTCAATAAATTGATTGGCAAAGTTAGGAATCTGTCTTTGATCTCTAGCATGGAGAGCTGCAGTATTCCTCAGAAAATATGCTTATCAGCCATTTAATGCTGCTGCAGCTCCAGGACAAAAAAAAAACCTTCAAGTCTCTTAGTCTGAACAGAAGAAAATAGTATCAGATCTGTGTGAAAAATTCCTGACTTTATGATCTTTTTGTCACTGTTTCCCTAGAGTAGTAATAAACACCACCCCAAAGATGATAGCCCTGCACAATGATACTGGCCTAGAAAAGGACCGGGGACATGGTTTGTCAAAATTCTATAATTGGGGTAGCTTTCTTTTTGAGACAAAAAAAAAAAAAAAATATATATATATATATATATATATATTTTAGGGGGTTTATATTCTTACAACATGTGACTTTTGATTTACAAAACAAAGTTTAGTTTTCAGTGTCTTTTTAATATGCACATTAGTGTTTGCTAGCCATGCTGAGAGGCCAAGATAACTTCATCTTCCAAGATGGAAGAGGGTTTTAAAACATTTTAGTATTAAAAGTAGGCTTAGGGTAGAACTCAAAGAAAACAAATCCTTTGTTATCCAAAGTGACGTTTGAGGGTAGGCAGATTGTTAAACCTTATCCACAAGCAAGGTCATAAATCTCAATAAGCTGTCAGAATTGGGCAAAACAAAGGTTTTATTCCATTTTCAGTTTACTGCTATGGTTTCAAACCCCCTCTGTAAAGTCAGGGGACCTCCATGTGTATGAGCTTTGGGAGAATTGCAGCTTAGGAACTTTCTTACTTTAATGTTCCTGTACATGTCTTCAGTAGTTTAGAATTAATCATATTCTGTATATAGGTTGAACTTCCTAGTGGCATAAAGCTCCCACTGTTTTTGTCTAAATAATTTGTGAAATGTTGACCTATGAAGCCTTGTTATGGGATAAAATATTTAGAAAATACTAACACTCTAGGTCCAAGAATGAAACCCAGCTCTTTCACTTGAGCACAGTGCTGATCACATAGGGGTATCCACATCAGCAAGCTACCGGATCAGGCAATGAATGCATATGAACTTTATTTCAGTAGTATTAAAATGCCATATTCAACAAGCTCTTTAGTGTGTAAAACTATTGGAAGGATGAATCATGTGCAAAGTTTAACTGTCTGTTCTATCCCTTGCATAATATTCTTGCTTTCTCCTTATTTGAAACCCCTAGTACTAAAGTTTTAGGTCCAATAGTAACACACTGTAATTTTCATGCCACTAAGGACTTGCATAGAGGTACTCTAGACTAAGCAAAATAACCCACCACACCCCCACAACAGTCCAAACATTTAATAATGTGCAAATTAAGCCATTTGGGAGTGTTTGAGCAGTGAAAATGGCCTCCAAGGATATGCAATGTTTAAGACCTCAATGACAGTGTACCTGAGGTTGTTTTAGAGCCACTGTATGTAGAAATGTGTACAGCCAGAAATGCATACCAGAAAGAAGGTTCAGAATAAGACTTTTAAAAAAAATTGTATCTTTAAACCCCACTCCCTCCATGCCCTAGCTGTAGAAGAGGGACACACCAGTATAAAACTAAAAAGGGAAAAAGCTTCATAATTCTTTTAGGTCTTTATTTGAACTAATACATTTTGGAATAAATTAAGACTGAGAGAAACAGAAGTGTTCACCTGGGCTATACTTACTAGGTAACTCTCCCGTGATGAGGCTTATCTGTCATCTACAACAAAGTAACACTTTTGCTGTTAATGAAGACAGCCCCTAGCTCAGAAAGTAAAGGCAGTTAAAAGCAAAAAAGCAATTTTATACATTTATACAACAAACCAGGGTCAAGGAGTTTGCCAGTTCTGAGAGCAGCTCAACTGTGGGTCTAGCAGGGCAAATTCACAGGCTTAATCTCTCCCTGTGTGTCCCACCATCCCCCTCCCCACTATGTGAAACATGATCAACAGCCAAAAAAAAGAGCTTTAAAGCCAAGACAGAAGTAAAATTCTGGCTTAACTAAACAGCTTTCCCATTGTTCAGTTACATTAAGAACTTACAGTCTAAGATGACTACCATTTAGCCCTTTAAACACTACAGAACTATAAAAGAGGTTAATTCTTAGCACACATACATACACAGCTAGTTTTATGCAATGTCTTCTTTTTTTTTTTATATACTGGTTATAGTGTTAGTTTTCCCACACAGAGTGGTGGCTATGCCAACTAATAACACAAACATTAGTATTTAACAAAAAGAGATAATTGTTTATAATGCCTTCTAATGGGTATGAAAATGTAGTGTGCCATGCTGGATTTCATAAAACATTTAAAGTCATCCAGAAACAAGCTATTTGCTCTACTGTAAAGCAAGATGTTTTCTCTAAAGCCAACACATCTATTCGCATTAATGGATCTGCTGGAACTAATGTGGGAGCCGCAGTTTTGCAGACACTGCAATGTTTGGTTTCATGCACTAGAAGCTATTCCACTTTACAAACCAGGAGGACCCCACACATGGTTAACTTCAGTCTGAGCACAGAATTTTAGCAGTTTTGCTGGCTTCAGTGAAATGACCCATCACCTTCAGTTAAGCATGTAAAATTTGGCAGGATGGGGGCATGCGAAGAGAGACAGCTGGCCCTGTACTACCATAAGAAAATGTGCAAGTCTGGATAATACTGCTCCTGAAAACATATACTAGGATCCAACCCAATTATTTAACAGTTAAGCGTGCCATATTCTGATAAGCATACAGGTTTTGCTATGTGAGCAGCTTGCACTTGACTAGCAAGGACTAATATCCAGGTAGGAAGGTCTGTGTTGAATTAGCCATGTGATAGAACACAGAATATGGTGACAACCTCAGTAATACTATCCAGCCCTTTGCATATCTAAATTCAGGAAGGTAGACTTATTCCAAATATAGGTCTAGTGGGTGGCATGCTGCCTGCTGCAGTCAAGTGATCAGCTGTATTAATTCAGCAGGGAATATACTGACATGCCACCTTCTATTCTTCCAGTGAGAGACTTTGGATTCAAGGATTTTAGGATTCAAATCTTATCTTTGAAGGAGCTATCCTTAGTACATAGGATACATACAGCTCCTAGACTATCAGAAAATCAATCTTAACTTGCAGAGTTACAAAAATATACTTAAAAGGAGGAAAAAGCCCCTGACAAACTTCATGCTGTGGATCTTTATGCACTTACGCCCTTTGGTTACTGTAACAAGTTAATACTTGTTGGGGTAAGTATCAGAGCTTGAGAGGAAAACAAAGCACAAGGTTTCAACCTAGTAACAAAGTGGGTTTGAGTTACAAAAGCAGAGGGAGGCAGTTTCAGCAGTTAGGGATGAACAGTTGCAGAGAAGCAAGCTTAGGACAAAACCAAGTTAAATTGAAGATTGTACTTTCTAATACAACATTTTTACTACACTAACAAACTTTAGACCAATAGTTGTCATGTTCCTGGACTGAATCATACATACAGAGCTTTTTTCAGTTCTGAATAGCTGCAGATCTACAACAGCGGTTGGGGAGGGTTGCTTCAGGCTTTCCCGCATGGATTTATGCTCCTACAGTGTCTGGGGATTTTTGTTTTTATCTCCCCCACTCCTTGAAAAACTTCTTCTGCCTAGAGACAAAGGTATTTCATAATCAACCCACCTTAACAGTGTCAAACGGGTGTCCTACCAGTACTCCTGCAGCACCTGAAATAAAACAAATGCCATGGTTATGACTCACAGGTTTCTTCTTTCATCAGTTTTCTTCCTGAATCCTTGGGGCTGCAGTACCCCAAGCAGTACTCCAGACTGAGGCAGAGCCTTATTGGTAGGCTAGGGAAAGAGCATCGTATCAAGTCAGAAGATGAGACACCTACAATTCAGTCGTTTAAGCCAACACTTGGTGCCTTTATGCTCCAATCAAGCTCCTGGGCCCCGGGGGGGGTTGAGGTGTGTGACTACAGAGCATGCCACACTATACAGGATGGTCAGCAATGATTCTGAGCCTCAGCCCAAGGTGAGCCCAGTGGGCAGAAATCACAGGTTTCCTCTGAAGCAAAACGTTTCTCATACATGCCACCCTGTGGAGGCACAGAAAACCTGGAAGTTTCCCTAAAGGCAGAAAAAAAAAATCCCTGCACTCTGCCCACAGCCTTTCCAGATGCAATGGTAGCACCTGCAGAAGGACCACGCATTACCAAAGCCTTCTGCTTTATTCTAGCGTCAAAGGATTTTTTTAGAAGTTATATGTAGGCCTCTTCGTTATACCAATCTGGATACATGCATTTGACAAGTACTGGCTGAGGCAAGGAATCCTCTGGCTCTGTATTACTCTGAACCACTGATCCATTTATGTTTGCTGACAACAGCAAGAACTACAAAGAGTGGTTCAGTGCACCTTCTTGCGTTGGCAGATAACATCCCTCCCTCTTCCGAGAGGATGTGGCAGAAGTACAGTGCCCACTGTAGGATGGTGTAGTCCAGGTTGTTCAAAGCCAGCACAACGGCAAGATAGTCCAAATCACAAAAATAGCGATGTGCTGTGTTCAGCATGAAAAGACTGGTGGCACAACCAATCCTGTGGGATCCCTGTCGAGGCAAGGATCACTAGGAAGAAGGCAGAGGCTGAAAAAAAAAGCAAACAACACAAAACAAATTCTCTTTGCCAGGGTGGCAAGGAGAACATCAAACGTGAATATCTGAAAAGACGCGAGAATAAATCTCCTGAATGCAATTTAACAACTGCTAAAAATAGAAGGAGAGCCATAAGCAGATGCACAGGGACGAGCAAGGCGAGCATAAGCATTATCTCCTCTTCGTGTTCAACCTCCCCGCTACGGGCCTGCTGCTGCCCGTGTGCTCACCAGAGAGCTCCCTCCCCGCCAGTCAACGCATCCAGCCCCTTCGCGCAGGCCGGGTTCTGCCACAGGCAAGGCGGCCGTGGCCGCGCTCCTGCGGGAACCCCCAGAGACCTTCCGCTCCCCCTGCCCTTCTCCGGGCTCGGCACCACCTGCTTCGGGGCGGCCGCTCCGTCCCCGGTGCCCAGCTCAGATCTCCGGTCCCACAATAAAAGCGCTGCGCCCAGCCCTTGCCCTCCCTCCGCCCCCCGCCTTTTTCTCACCCATTTTCCCCGCTATTTAAATTTTTTTTTACCCCCCCCTCCCTTCCCCCCCTGTTTTCCTTTCCTCCCATCCCTTTTTCTTTATTTTCCTTTTTCCCGTTGCCCCCTTTTCCTGCCCCTCACCTCCGACGCATCCAGCAAGGAAATCCAGAGCCATGCTGGCACTCTGCGTCCCCGGCGGGGCCCGGCCCTCGCGCGATACCGCTCTGCGCACTGCCGCTGCCCGCCCCGCCGACCGCCCTTTCTACCGCCCGCCTCCCCCCGCGGCAGGAGGGGGGCCGGACCGTGCCTGCGGAGGGGCGGGCACCGGGACAACTCCCCCCCGCCGTCCGCAGCCACTGGCAGCTGCGCCGGGCGGCTCCGGGCAAAGGGCGGGACGGGACTGAAGCAGATGGGGGCCGGAGCCTTGCGGGACGGGACGGGTCTGTTCTGTTTTGCAGCTACATCCGAGCAGTTAACCTGATGTAAAGGCAGAAATAAACATTGGAGGCTGGGATGTGGTGGTCTGGGGAGGGCGATCAGAAGTCAGAGCATCCCTCCTGCTGAGAATCAACACCCCGAGCTGTTTGGGGTGGTTAGGGACGCTGTCCGCGTCGTCTTGCATTCTGGATGAGGCATCCCTGGGCGCTGGTGGTTGGAAAGCCCGCAGAGCTTATGCCGGAGGACTTTGGAGGGGGTGCGTCTTTTTAATAGCGGTGAAACGCATGTAACACCTCTTCTATGAAGAATGGCTGAGAGAGCTGGGGTTGTTCAGCCTGGGAAAGAGAAGGCTACAGGAAGACCTTGTTGTGGCATTTCCATACTTAAAGGGGGCTTATAAAGATGGTGAGAGACTTTTTACCAGAGCCTGTAATGGTAGAAGAAGGAGTAACCATTTAGTCCTAAACCTGAAGATACAGATTATAAACAAAGAAGAAATTCTTTAAGATGAGAGTGCTGAGGTGCTGGCACAGGTTGCCCAGAGAAGATGTGGCTGCCTCGTCCCAGGCAGTGTTCAAGGCCAGGTTGAATGGGGCTTGGAGCAATCTGGTCCAGTGGAAGGTGTGCTTGCCCATGCCCAAGGGGTTGGAACTGGATGAGCTTTAAGGTCCCTTCTAACCCAACACATTCTGTGATTCTATAACAGACTCCCCCACCAGTGTTAAACCAGAGAGGAGAGGAAGGGCTGCACTAGGAGATGTGGGCTCTAGGCTAACTCCTGCCCCCATGGCACAGCTTGAAGCACAGGGATGAGACCCTACCTCTGATGGTCATGGCCACAAATCAGTAACCTGCTGCTCATGGGATTTAGCAGAGACCTGGATCTCAGTATTACACATTGCTGTCGAAGAGGCTTCTCCTGTACCCTCCTCTCAGGCTTTTCTTGGTTTGTATTAACTGCTTTCTTACTAACATTACCTGCCTTCAAGGTTCCCTGCTGATGCCAGAGACTTTAAATAGGAAATTCAAGCTGTTGACAGTTTCAAAAGGGAGCCCTGTTTAAGCCACTCCTTGTCTCTGCAGGCAACGTCTGAGAAAGGGGCATACCAGTGGCCTGGAACAGTAATCTGCCTATTCAAGCTTTGCTTAGAGAGAGCAACTTCCAGAAGCAGAATGGAAAAGCAGATGGATTTCTCTTTTTTTTTTTTTTTTTTTTTTTTTCCCAATTGTCACGGCAGCCCTTTCTCAGATGTAGCAGCTCAATACAAAGCTGATAAAATCTTGCAGTGGAATAGCATATTAAAAGTTAAGTCAGCTTTTCCTTTCTGTGCAAACAAAAAACACACAGTGAATGAGGAAAGAAAAGGATCTTTCCCAGGAGGTCAGAAACTACTACTACAGAACCTGCCCAATTTAGCTGCTCTTAGACCATCATTACCATTAATAAGCAGATAAGACGAGAATGCAAAGCACACAATGAATTCCTGATCTTTCCCATACCTTCTTCCAACCCAACACTCATTTGGGGCCCTTGTCATCTCTAAACTCTGTCAAATCAAAAGAAGTGTCTCCAGGATGCTTTTGATTCTCTGATTCACATACATGTTCTACCTGGGGACAAGCAGCTGGTGTTAGAGAGCAGGCAGGTAGGCTGGTCTTGCCCTTTGCCACAGCACAGAGGGCTTTGGGAGCTGCCCGCTCCTGTTGTACCACACACTGTTCTACCTCCTGACACATACCTTAGACCTTGAGCCCATGCACTGTCAGCCAGTACTTGAAATAAGACAAGAAGCCCCAGACAGTCTTTTTCCTAAGTAGAGGTGGAAGTGAATTTCTGGGAATCTTGTGTGCTCTGGTATCCATGAAAGGAACTACAATCATGTACACAGCTTTGCAGGTGAAAGTCCAGATGTTATGTACCTCTGCCTTGCAGACAAACCTCAGAAGGATCAGTTTGGTCAAAGTGTTCCTGGCCAAAGTGGTTTTAATCTGTTATTAAATCCTCTGATCTCCCAGGCAATCTGCCTCAGAGAAATTACCTTCTCCCCCAGAAGTGTTTTATAACTTTAATATTTGCCCACAATGGACAGGGAAAACATTTCCTCTCTCTTTGCAGGCATTTATTCGGTTATCTGAAGACAGCTTCAATATTAGTCCTTTCTTCTCTGAATTATATTGATTATTATCTTTTGACCTCTGATTCTTCTAACCCCCTCTTCAGCTGATCTGTAGTTCCTTGAACTAATCATTAAAGCCTTGCTGAGTGAGTACTGGGAGATTATCTTGGATATTTGCAGACAACAACTCTTTGTCATACATCTGAGTATGAGATCGGATATTTGTAAGAGTCGTAACATAACATTTTGCTCATTGTGGGCAGCCTGTGATGCATGATGCTCCCCAGACCCTTTCCAGTAGGTCAGCTTATGTCACAGTGTTCCCTGTCTTATATTTGCCATTCCTTCCTACATAGTCATTTCTAGCAGTCCATTCTAAATGGGGTTTTCCAGATTGTTTTTCCAGTTCGTCAAGATCATTTGAATTCTGATCTTACCGTTGATGTTTGTGCAGCCCCTCCCAGGTTGCTGCAATCTCCAAAGGCCTGCCTTGTTCCTGCATATTTGAGCTGTTCCTACTAAACTTCATTCAATGCTACTGAATGTTTTACTCAATTATTGAATGCTATTGAACCCCACTGGAGGAAGCATGTACTTCAAAGGGGGGTGGGGGTGTGGGGGGGTGGTGTTGTGCTTTACATATTAGTGCAGAGAATGTCAAGGGCTCCTGGGTATAAAGTTTGAGATGTCAGGGGTTGATTCACTAAGAAATGAGCATGGCTTTAGCCCCACTGGGGTGTTCCCTTTTGATCATTTTTTCTTGCTTGGGGTTTTGGTTTTGGTTCAAGTTACACTTGTGAGGCAGTGTTGTACGATGGTATAGAACTTTATTAAGAGGGGTGTGGAGGCAGTGAATCAATACATGTGCTTATATTTGTGCGTGGCTTTCATAGGAGCTTTGCAATAAAGGGAAGGAGGTCATATAGCTCTTATATTTTAGTAGTGTTACTTAGGCCAGACATTTTGCCTGTTGGTCCAGGGCCCTATGTGTGCAGTAGAGACATACTTTTGGAGAGGAAAGCTAACCTGACACTCAAGGAAACCCAGATTTAATGGTTCTACTCTACTCTCAGGCTGTTTTTCTAGATAGTTCAAAAGCTATGTCTGATCTTGCATCCAGTTTGTTGATGTGTGATGCCTCCAGGTCAAAGCGTGACTCATCTGTTGGGAGTTCTTGTGCCCTTCAGGCTCCATAGATCCAGCTCACCTGTGACCACTTTTCTTTTTATTCTGCTAAGGGAGATCCAAACATAACTTGCAACTGGCTGAGTTGCATCCCCTAGAAAGATGGAGTAAGGAGCTGTGCTTTTCCTGCTTTCTTCTTCTTTGGGAGCACTTTGCTTCCCTGCTGGGTAGTGAAATGGGGGTTTATGAAATAGAGAAAGTAGAAAAGAAAGAGCTAATGGCAGCTTGGAACACATATAGTCTACCAGCACGTATGGCAGCTGCACTGCCACATGTCTGAGAGAAAAGGTTAAAGTTATAATTTAATGTTATCCTTCAAAGACCCCTTTCTCTTTGTCCTGTTGTCCCTCAGGTCTGAAAGTTAAGGTGGAAGAGGTTTTGCAGATGATGCTGGAGGGATGAGATAACAGAGGCTTCCTTCATTCTTGTGGCAAGAAGTGAGTCTGTTGGCTGTCTGTTGTCCTTGATGGCACCCAGGTCTGGGAAAAGATGAGCCCTAACAGAAACCTGGGAAAGGGAGCTGGCAATGTAGGAAGGGGAATAGAATAAGGCCAAAAGTAAAGAAGCAGTAGGGCAGCGTTAACACTGCAGGTAAACGAAACACAAAGTGCAAAAGCAGAGTGAAGAAGGAAAGGAACAGGAATGGGGAGCTGTGACAAACTCATAGAAATTCTGGTGGCAATGGCATACAATAAAATGCACATTGTTGACTCAGATGTTTCAAAATCTTTCTGTTTGCATGTGAATTTGTCATCAACTGGTCGTGTCCCACTAGACATGTCCCAGTAGAATGTGGAGGGTCATGGGTGTCCTGAGGTTCTCCCAGCTCTTCCCCACAGCGTCAGTGGGGCCTGGCCAGCTCTGGGATTACATGGCATGGAGAATTTCCTTTCATACAGCCCTCTGCCCTCAGGCCTTTCTTTATCTTCTGCTGCATCATCACAACTTCAGTACTCATTATGTTATCAAGAAAAATGCATTGATTTCTCTTTTTATTTTGAGGGGGGACTGGATTTTGATCTTCCTAGCATCCTGAATCACTCTTCAAAGGCTCTCTGGGGCAGCAGTTCTCTCTATGCCCTATTTATGATGTGAACCTAGGCTGCATACATGCAGCTGTTTGAATGTTGCATTTACACTAGCAAACTTCTTGCAAGGAAAACCTTGCATTTTCCAGAGACTGCAGACCAGCATAACTGAGATTGAAGATCAGCTAATGCTTTACCAAATGGCTGACTATCTACAGCAGTAAAAAATAAATCAAAATGGTGAATGAGAAAAATACTGGGACATAATAGTAAGTGCATAAGAAAGAAGCTGAGCTGGGCTGGGTGGAAACAACTAGTGTCAGGAAAAGTATCTTCTCCAGGTGAATTCACTGAGTACCTTTGTGTGGATTCAAGTCCATTTTCTTTGTTTTCCTAAACACAGATTGTGTGTTTAGGAACACATCATTGCCCCACTTGTACTCATTGCCCCACTCAATGTTATGTTGAGACAAGTCATC